CTCTCTCTCTCTCTCTCTCTCTCTGTTCGCCTTCTTCTTGTCTCCTCTTCCTCCCCTCCTCCTCCTCCTCCTCCGTTCGCCTTCTTCTAGTCTCCTCTTCATCCCCCTCCTCCTTTCATCTTCCTCTTTATCTTCCTCCTCCTCCTCCTCCTCGTACCGGTTTTCTGCCACGTGTCGGCGCTCTCTCTCTCTCTCTCTCTGCCCTCCTCCTTCATCGTCCCTTTTTCTTTTTTTTCCCTCGTCATCGCCACACAAAGCCGGCAGGCCCTCCTCCTCCACCTCCTCCTCCTCCGTTCGCTTCTTCTTGTCTACTCCTCCTCCCCGTCCTTTCATCTTCTTCTTCTTCCTCCTCTTCCTTCCCCTCCTCCTCCTCCTCGTCCTGATTTCCTGCCATGTGTCGGTGCTCTCTCTCTCTCTCCCCTCCTCCTTCCTCGTCCATTTTTTTTTTTTTTTTCTCGTCATCGCAATACATAGCCGGCAGGCCCTCCTCCTCAACCTCCTCCTCCTCTGTTCGCCTTCTTCTTGTCTCCTCCTCCCCCGTCTTTCATCTTCTTCTTCCTCCTCCTCCTCCTCCTCCCCCCCGTCCTCTTTCTTGTCATCACCATACATAGCCGGCAGCCCCTCCTCCTCAACCTCCTCCTCCGTTCCCCTTCTTCTTGTATCCTCCTCCCCTCCTTTCATCTTCTTCTTCTTCCTCCTTATCCTCCTCCTCCTCCTTGTCCTCGTCGTCCCGATTTCCTGCCACGTGTCGGCGGGATCGCTCTCTCTCTCTCCCGTCCTCCGTCCTCGTTGTTTTTCTTTTTTTTTCCTCGTCATCGCCATACAAACCCGGCAGGCCCTCCTCAACCTCCTCCTCCGTTCGCCGCCTCCTTGTCTCCTCCTCCGGGTCCTCCCCCTCCTTTCATCATCTTCTTCTTCTTCTTCTTCCTCCTCCTCCTCCTCCTCCTCCTCCTCGTCCAGATTTCCTGCCACGTGTCGGCGGGATCTCTCTCTCTCTCTCGTCCTTTTTTTTTTTTCCGTCATGGCCATACAAAAGCGGCACGCCCTCCTCCTCCTCCTTCTCCTCCTCCTCGTCCCGATTTCCTGCCACATGTCGGCTCTCTCTCTCTCTCTCTCTCTCTCTCTCTCCTCCTGCGCCTTCCTCGTCCTTTTTTTATTTCTTTTCGTCGCCGTCATACAACACCGGCAGGTCCTCCTCCTCCTCCTCCTCCTCCTGCTTTCATCTTCTTCTTCTCTCCCCCTCGTCCCCCTCCTTTCTTCTTCATCTTCTCCTCCTCCTCACTTCCTCCTCCTCCTCCTCCTCCTCCTCCTCCTCCTTTCGTCTTCTTCCCTCCTCCTCCTCCTCCTCCTCCTCCTTTCGTCTTCTTCCCTCCTCCTCCTCCTCCTCTCCTCCTCTCCTCCTCCTCCTCTTCCTCCCCATCCTCCTTTCGTCTTCTTCTACCCTCCTCCTCCTCCTCCTCCATATCTTACCGCCCTCCATCTCGCACATCCGCCAGCCATATTGTATTGCCGCCCACCATCTCGCACATCCGCCAGCTATATTGTACTGCCCGCCATATCCTATGACCCGCTGTCTCCCGTCCGTTCTTTTCTTTTTCTTTTTCCATGACCGAAAAAAGGACGTAAGCGGGCAGACATCAGCTCCATTCACAACCGGCAATGGTGGTATTCTCTTCTTCTTCTTCTTCTTCTTCTTCTTCTTCTTCCTCCTCCTCCTCCTCTTCTTCTTCTACTTCCGATATTTTTGCTTTCGTTTTTCCTTTGGTGTTGGTCCACGCATCCTCTACTTCGACGGCATTATCGAAGGCGGTGGCAGCAACGTCGGCAGGGGGAGTGGCAGGTGTGGAAGGACGAGAGGCAAAATGGCTGCAGAAAAAGGAAAAGGGCAAGTTGCAAGCACCTGCACTACACCCGCATAGACAGTGACCCCCAAAGACCCCACGCCGGCAGTGGACCCCTCCTTGTTCGTTCCAAAGGAAAAAATGCAATCAGCATGTCCAAGTGTGTATGTGTGTGTGTGTGTGTGTGAGAGAGAGAGAGAGAGAGAGGGAGGGAGATAACTTTGATACTCAAAATCTCCCGCCATGAGACTTCGTTTCCGGGAGGAGCTTCTCATCGTCCTTTGTTTGGTTCTTCTTCTTCTTCGTCACCCTCCTC